CCCCCCCCCCCCCCAGTAGGATGCAGCGCACCCTTCTAGCCTGGTCCGGCGAAACCCAGGCATGATCCGTCCCGGCTTTGTGGGGATGCAAGGTCTATTCGTCAACCCTAAGTGGCATGCCCTTGTTGTCTTTATAGATACTGTAGTGCTTGATGTTTAGATGCTTGTTTTCTCTCACACCCGGTTGGGGGGAAAGAGCAGGGAGCATCTAAACATCAAGCACTACAGTCTCTACAAAGACAACAAGGGCATACCACTTACGGTTGACGCAAACTCTAGAGTGTTTGCGGCCTACGCCACTTATTTATCGGGTGAGACTGTTTTGGTGATGTGTTAGCTTCACGAGAGGTAGACGACCGTCGTTCACACGGATGAAAGCGGGAGTGCTCAAAGAGCGGCTCCCACAGCAAGGAGGGGGGCCGTGAATCATCGCGGTGCCCCCTACCAAACGACAATATTACCAGTCTGCGTGACATCAAATCATCCAGCACGTGTATCCAACACCAATGTTCGCAGACCCACGAACACCCTCCCTGGTTCTTCACGCAAGTGACTAACTATCAATGGGACAAGAACGCCCCTGGATACATCAGAAAATACCAACATGGTAATATATGGAGGGGAAACCCGGCGTCTGGGCAAAACCCCTCGAAAAAGACCCTACCACCACAAAAACCGTCACTATCACAGCGGACCACAACGGTCGCACTTAATGGAAAGGCCAGGACGAAGACAAGAACGCGAGGAACTACGTTCCCCTGGACGATGGCCTTCCAACGCCCCCTACTCCTGCCATTGGTACACAGACCGCAACAGTTACGCGCCTTTCCCGGCATGGAAAACATGACCCCTCCCAAGTGCCAGAAACTGCTACAGCTACTCCGGCAAATTCATCAATTGCGCCGGTGGCACTGCAGACTAGCCCTGCTAAGGGCCTTGGCTAGGAGGTCCGCGTGTTGATCCGTTGTCGGAACGAACTTGACCGAAATATCCCCCGGCCTAAACAATTCGCGGATGAAATGAAATCTCACGTCGATGTGTTTCGTGCGACATGAGCTGAGGGGGTTCTGCACCAATGCTATGGCCCCCTGGTTGTCCTCAAGGACCTGGATGCTGCTACCACTGGTCTCTGGGGCAACAAACGAAAGCACAGCACGCACATACAACGCCTCCTTGACGCCCTCCCCGGCAGCTATGTATTTGGCTTCCGTCGAAGATAAAGACACGATGCTCTGTGCCTTGCTACCATGGCTGACTACGGTACCTCCAACCGTCGTCGCCAACCCACTGGACGCGAGAACGTTGACACCCACATCATGCTGCCGATGGCCTCCCTCACCGGCCATTCCCCTCCCTTCTCGTCATCTCGCTTCGGTCCTTTGGGAGATTCACTGAGCTCGTGGGACGCCAGAGCCGTCTCGAAGGCGTCTGGCGAGTTGAGCATGAGGTCCACCGCACCCAGCAGGAAGTCCTCCGCCTCTTGGCGCGCAGCGTGGGCCTCTTCCGCGCGCTCGAACAGCAACTCTCGCACCGCCCTCGCCTCTAGCCCCTCCGCCACGTGAAGTACCGCCGAGAGCATCCAGCTGGTGAACTCCTCCGTGCTGCTGACGGGCAGGCTCGCTGCCGAGGCGAGCAGGACTTCGGCACGTGTCGGCGACGGGGCCGACTCGTACCTCGGGTTTCGGCGAGGTTTCTCGCTGGTGCGGCGGCTAGTTCCGCGGGCTTGTCGAAGCGGGCAAGCCGCCGGGCCTCTAGCCCGCGGAGCGCCGGGAGATCCGTCTCGCTGTCGCTGTCACTGTCGCTGCCGCTGCCCGCTGCTGCTGCCGCTGTTGCTGCTGCGGCGGTCGTCCTCGCCGCCGCCCACATCGGCCGTGTCGGCCGACGTGGTAGATGGGGCGACTCTCGCGCCGTCCCCGCTCCAGGGGGCGCCATCGCCAGCGTCGCCCGCGCCCGATTCCTGGGGCGAGGCCGGCGGCGCCGGCGGCGCTACGCGCGCGGGCGGCCCCGCGGGCCCCGGGGCTCCTGTGGTGCCAAGGTTGAAACCTGGTCCTCCATCCACAAGTTCTCCCTTTGTCCTCCCTCCACCTTGGCTCGACGCACCCTCCCCAACCTCGTCCTCCTCGGTCGCGAATTCTTTTCTTCCTCTGCGATGGGAGGCAGCGATGCTCGGGTCGACGTCTTGCTGGGGATGGGCTTGGAAAGCCCCTTCGCCGTCGAGCAACCCAGGCACTCCCGGAGCTCGCCCACCAGGGTGGTCCCCTGCTGCTTCGCCGTGGTCCTCAGCAGCACCTCGTGGGAGTGGCCGTGCGCGCAGTGGAAATCGTTGATGTCAACGGGGGTGCTGGACGCTTCCGCGTTGCCAGGAGCAGTTGTGGCATAGGCATGTTCGGTGTGTGTGCGGAAACCGTTTTTGACGTACAGGTTACCGCATCGGGGGAAGTACACCACCTCCCCCCCCCCTCTCTCCAACTCCAACTCGTGTTTGTTGAGGGTTTTGGTTTCGAACCCGTCGTCGAAGAGGGAAGTGAGAGATACTAGGTTGTAGTCTAGTCGGGGGACGTGTGCAACCCGTTTCAACAACAGGTCGGTTGTACCGTCGCGCGAGCTAAGGGTTACCGTCACGTCGCCATACCCTACGATAGGGAAGNGCGCGAGCTAAGGGTGACCGTCACGTCGCCATACCCTACGATAGGGAAGGTTTCTCCGGCGGCGACGCGCACACGTCGATCACACTTCTGATATCGGACAAACCCATCTGCGTTTGCGAACATGTGGGTGGTAGCGCCGGTATCGGCAAAATACCCACCCCGCCTACCCTGCTCTACACCCCCTCGACCAACGACTTTGTGACACTCGCCTGAGATGTCACCGACCACCAGCGCTTCTTCTGCCACGTCCAGTGCTGTGGCGTCCGCAGACGCCCCCCCCGCCGGCACTTCCACCACGAGCACCGCCTCCTCGGTCGGGCACTTGCTTTTGTCGTGCCCGTAGCCCTTGCATGTCTCACATCGCACGGGCTTGCTCTCGGTGCAGTCGGCCACCTGGTGGCCCTTCTTGCCGCACCGGAAACAGCGACCGCGCATGCTACCCGCATCGTTGTCGCCGCCTCCGCCGCCGCCACCAGCCTTCGCGCTACTCCCTCTCCCTTTCTGGTTGCCGCCGCCGCCGCCGCCACCCATACGGCGGCCACCGTTGCCGCGGCCCGGCGCTCCTCCCCCACCGCTACGGTCGCTCGTGAGGAGAGCATGCTCCGCCCTCCGCTGGCCCTTCGAGGCCTTCCTCCCCTTCAGAAGGCTCGCGTGCACCGTGGTCACGATTCTGACGATCTCGGCCCTATCCAGCGCCGTTGCTGTCTCCAACAGGAAC